GCTCAGCAGCTCATCACTAGAACAAAATAGCCATATAAATGCCGACTAGCCCAACTGCCTTGTAAGGAATGATCACTGACAACTAGAGTTTCTATTCAGCAGGCTAATAAGAATAATTATAGCCAGGGCAGGCATTAATCAGCTTGGCAGATACAGGAATTCTGTTAACAAGGCTAAAATGAGTGCCAAGGAATCTCTGAAGGCCAAAGCACTTCAAAGACTGTTAAAGCTGGATGGATTCACCAGGGCTCCTCTTCCTTCGTTGCTTTCTGGAGGTGGCTGCATTTCCTCCCCTCTCCTCAAAGCAGGTGTGCTGACTTGCTGGGGGCATGCCTTCGAGGTGCATGCTGGCACTGCCCTTCCCTTCAGAAGTTGTCCCTTGGCTGCATTCACCCTGGGTCCCCTATTTGTAACCCCACTTTTACTTTCAAACCACTACCATCTTTTCTCTGCCTAAACCACAATTAAGTAATGCACAGCACATCGGCCCACTTTTCCTTAACAGAGGCAGAATGGAGTCCTGAGACTAAATCCTGGCTCTGCCATGGAGTTTCTGTCTGACTCCAGACAAGTTGTTTAACTTTTCCTCAATTTCCTCATCCGGAATAAGGAGAAAATAAAAGTGACATGGTGACTTTCTCCAAGTGCTGCTACGAAGAATAACTAACAGAATGTATCTAAGAGCCTGACACTTGATCTGGGCTCTAAATAGTCCCATTCTTACTCTGTGCCTGTAGGCTACAGTGCTGTGTAAGGAGCTGAGAAAGGAACAGACAGTAGTTAGTATGCAGACGCACATACAGTATACAGGTCTGGCTGTGCCTGGGCAGGAGGGTGGACCCACTTTTCCTTAGCTCTTATATCCTTTATAACTCACAGACGGCTAGCTATAGCCTCACATCTGTTCCTCCCTTCTTCCCTAGTAGCTGGCACATGGCTCCCCAGCCTCCCTTGCAGCTAGTGTGGCATGGGCTAAAGTCTCTCCAAGACCACGTATGCAGAAGTGATGTGTGCCACTTCCTAGCTTGGCCCATGAAGCCTCCGTGTATTCTAGGCCACACTCTTTCCCTTTTCATGAGGGCTGGAACACTGATGGTGACAACCAAAGTGATCTTAGAAATCACGGGTTGAAGATAGTGGAAGCACCACCAGCCTGGGAACCAGAATAACAAGTGTAGAGCAGGGGTCCCACCCAACCTTTCCTTCTGAAGCATCCTCTTGGCACTGTTATGAAAAACACTTCTATTGTTTGAACTGCTATGCTTTGAATCGGTTTGTTAGAGCAGTTTAGCCTACTTAATTAATACAAGACTTTTCTATATTATTTGAATTTTAAATACAGATGTAATGCTTTTGACATTTAAAAACTACAGTATTTCAATGGGGTTGCAAAAAGAAAACATAAAGAGAATATGTTAATGGCTCTCCACAATCTCCGGGCCTTCCTCTGCCCAATTCATGTTGCACACTAGCTGGAGATTTATCCTCCTCAAACACAGCACCCTATTGAGTCAGTTTCACCCTGCAAACTTTTAATGACTACCCACGTCCCACAGAAAAAAGGGACACATACAGCACGTATTTATCACATATTCCCTATGTGCTATTACTCTCTTAGTAATAAGGACACTATAGTGAGCAAAACCAACATGATTCCTGTCCCCAAGGGATATAATCAAGGGAGGGGCCAGACAATTCTATACAAATAAATAAATAAATGCTATTTATGAAAGAAGCACAGGCTGTCTGGCACCGAGGGGTCAAGCGAAACCCCTTTCACAGTCCAGACTTTCCAGCACAGCATACAAAACCTGCAGGATCTACCCCGAACCCACCTCTCAGTTTGTGCCTCTACTATTTCCTCCTCCTCCCTCTAGTTAAATGGAACTTATGTGATATTTCTGAATGAGCCGTGTACTTTCACTCATCTACACTTTATGCTTTCCCCCAGAGCCTAGAATCCTCTTCTGTCCTATTTTACAAAATTCTAATTATCCTCAAGACTCAGCTCAAATGTCACCTCATTGGCAAAACCTTCCCCGACCCCAAAGTCAAAATTAATCATCCTGTTCTTTTTTTCTTTTTTTTTTGAGACGGAGTCTCACTCTGTTGCCCTCTGTAGATAGCTCATAGCAACCTCAAACTCAGGCTCAGTCAATCCGCTTGCCTCAGCCTCCCAAGTAGCTGGGACTACAGGTACCCACCACAACACCCAGCTATTTTTCTTTTTAAGAGCTGGGGTCTTGCTCTTGATCAGGCTGGTCTTGAACTCCTAAGCTCAGGCAATCCACCTGCCTTGGCCTCCAAGTGTGCTAGGATTACAGGTGTGAGCCACTGTGCCTGGCTTCTGTTCTTTACCTTCTACCAGCACTTAGTATCCAAGTCAGGCATTTCATTCCGTCCCACAGTTAGTCTTATTATCTGTCCATCCACTCAGTGGTGAGTGGCTGCTGTGTCTTGGTCATGTGCCTGGGACTCCCAGTTTGGGACATTGTTATGGGCAGAGTGGCTGCTCAAGATACGCCATTTTGAATAGATGGACAGGCTAGGTCAGGTACAGGCAGTAGATGTGAAACCTGCTCTGTGAGAGTGAGTGAGTTCTGGTAGGTAAACTTAACTGGGAAGGCTTCATGGAGGAAGTCAGTTTTAGGGAAAAAAGGAAATACACAGGTAAGAGGTGAGAAGTAGGAGAGGCCCAAGGCTTGATACCGCCTGTGAAAAGAAGAGCAAACAGGTGCCTTAGAAAAAGGGTCTGCACAAGAGAAGACGAGAGTGGGGAGGACACAGGAAGCAACATCCCCTTGGAGGACACCCCAGAACCCAATGAGCAAAGGTGGGAGCCCCAAAACGGAGGAAACTGTTAACTGGGGAACCATCAGGACCTAGGCTAAGACAGTAGCTGTAGAAATAAGAACAAGAAGAAGCTGCAGTCTGTGCTATAGGAAAAGCCAGAGAACTGAGCGGCCGTGAATGTGCAGGTTAAAGAGAACAGTGATACTGAGATTATCCCCAGGAAGCAACACAGGAGGAAAGAGGATCTTGCTTATCAACATATTAAGTTTCAGGAATCAGTATAGTGGAACATGGGTAGGCCTTTCCAGAGGTCAAGTTGAAGCCACACCAAATGAGGCCCTGTGGGGGGAATGGCTATCGGGTACCATTGACAGCTCAGAGAACTGTTGAGTGAAAAGACACTGGCTTGGCTGGTGCCACCACCAACTCCCTGTGTAGTTAACACAAGATGTCCACCCAGGGCAGGATGCGCTAGTGTGCAGCTGGTCTCTCTTTGCCCCATCTCCCTCCTCCCCCCATTACCACTGTTACTCCAGGGCATTCTTTTCAAATTCTACCTCACCTCACCCTCTTCACTGGTGCACAGGTTGTGAGCTGCACAAGTCTAGGGGGAGCCATTCACACAGAATGCAAACTGAACAGCAGGGTTGTGCAGTGCACAGCCTGTGCAACCGCAGGCCATGGCCCTCCCTGACCAAAACGCACAAGCCAATTCATGGAGGACTGTCCATGAATTGTGGATTATCACCAGGAGCTTGCAACAAACACAGAACTTATAAGGGTCCCAGAGTGAAAGGGAAAGATTAAAAGCACTAGGATCAGAGACCACAGAAGAGTTGCTATCAAGCTAAGTGGAAGCTCTGGACGCTTTCTGCACATGGGTGACAACTGAAGAAACAGGGCTAGACAAGCTCTCTTAGGGAGTGAGTTCAAGAAAATCCCTCAGAGATGAAGATAATACAGCAGCATCTAGAAAAGCTAGTTGACCAGCAGCAGGAATCATGAGGTTAGGACAGTGTGGACCCTGGTGCCAGCAGGAGGGGTGAGGCTGTGGAAGGCCTCCACTGGGACCCTTGGATCCTAAGTGCAGAGGAGTCATTAACCCTGTGTGCAGCTGGGCCCTGGCTGGGACAGACACCACACACCATGTGCTCTATAAAAGATTCAGACTCGCCTTCTCTAGGGACTTGGAAGAACCTGTGGCCAGGTCATAGGATTCCTCTTGTCCTGGTTGACACTGACCATAGGAATCCAAGAAAATCAGAGCATTTAAGGGTCAGCCCTCACGGGCCACGGTGGGCACTTAATAAACATATTTCCGTAGCTGGTGAAGATAACCATGTGTATCTTCGTGAAGATGGTGTCTGCGTATGGAGGGAATGGAAAATGGAGAGGGGGAAAGAAAAACACCCACTAAAGATTCCTTGGGTGGGGGTAGGGCACTGGGCCAAATCAGGAGGCAGGAAGGTTTCCGGAGGGTGGAAGCCGGGGGACAGCAAGGGAGGAAAAGTAACAGGTAGAAAAAGTTGGAGAAGCCTGGCTCTTAGGTCTTTGTGTATGAATATGCAGCGAGACAGCGCCAAGAAAAGCTAAAAAAAAAAAAAAAAAAAAGACTGAGGCAGAAGATCTAGACCAAAATGACGGAAGGACCGGCACATCGACTTCCATTGTACAGCTCTGGGCCACCCCATGACCTTCGTAGAAGGAAGTTGGTGGATTCTCTCGCTTCCCAGGAAAGGCAACTCGGCGTGGGTTCGCGTGCGTGGAGAGCGATCCGGCCGGTCGGGCTATGGCGGGGCGTATCAAAGGCTCATATTTCCGCTCTCGAGCTGGGCGCCCGGGCCAAGACCGCAGGCACCTTCCGGGCCGGGAGTTCAAGGTGAGCCGGGCTCCCGGCGGCCAACAGGTAGGGAGGGCTGGGGGGAAGCCGGCCACGGGCCACTCCCCCGGCACATGTCCGGGGTGAGGCTCGGCCTGGCGGAGCGGGACTTACACCCCGCGCGCGGGGCTGGGGCGGATTTGCGCCAGGCTCCGGGCGGCCCCGCGACCGCTCCCCGCCAGGCTGGGCCGCCCGTGCAGCCCGGCAGGTCTCCCGGGAGCGGCCCGGCCCCGCGGGAGCCCCAGGCCGCGCGCCGCAGCCGCGCCCCGCCGACGCCCCCCAGAGTCCCCAGTGCCCCCGAGCCCCACCGAGCCCCGCGCGCACTCACCCAGCCCCAGGAGAGCCAGCAGCAGCGGCCTGGGCGCCAGGCGCCCCATGCTCGCCCAGCGGGAGCGACGCTCCCCCGCCTCCTCCTTCCCGCCGCCTCTCCTCCTCCTCCTCCTCCAGCTCCGGCTGCTCCAGAGTCAGCGCTCCTCCGCCTGGGCCGCGCGCCTGCTCCGCTCTCCTCGCCAGCCGATAAATCCCAGCGCTGGGGCGTACGTGCGCCCCTGCTCCGCTCGCGCCCGCCCGCCCGCTGCGCTCCCGCCCGCCTCCCGCCGGCCGGGCCCGGGAGCCGGCCCGCCGCGCCGAGTGTACAGCCCCGACCGCTTCCCGAAAGCCAAAGGGAAGAACCGCAGCGCCCGCCCGCCCGCGCCTCCCATCCGGCGCTTTGCCAGCAACAAACACAAACTTTCCCAAGCCCCTCCCCGCTCCAGGTAACGGAGGAGGCGCCGGGCCACCCGCTTAAAGGGGAGGCGGCGTCGGCGCCCACCCAGCCCTACCCGCGGGGCCTCCACCCCACAAGAAACTTTCCTCCGACCTTTAAAAGTTGGCCAGGGAAAGGCTCGTCTGGAAATGCATCGCTTTAGCCCTATCCCGGGACACCCAGTGTCCCACCACTCTGGAGTCACCCACGCACCTCAGACGACTCCACGCACCTTCACCCTCTCATGCTGAGCTAAGCAGCCCACCAACCAAGGAACATGGCCCTGGCAAAAAATTATTCAGATAGGTCTGAAAGAGCTGGAGGGACTAAAGGTCCTGGATACACTGCAGCCTCTTCAGTGTACAGAGGCCTGGAGTGTCGAGGTGACGCCCAAAGATTGACAGCGAAGGGACAAGACCAGACCCAGCTCTCCTGACTCTGCCCACACCCTGTCCTTCCCACGTCCCTTGTCTGCAAGGTGCCTATGGCACTGATCAGCACAGCTTCCCCAAAAGATACCCATTAAAAAAAATTTTTAAGTGAGTATTTTAATAGCTACAGTACTTCATAGGACAACTGAATGCTTATTGCTTTAAGGGACATCCATGGTTGCCAATAAAGACTCTCCCCCCACCACAGTAGTTTTGAACTTTTGATTTGAATACAAAAGGCCCTACATTGTTGAGGGGAAATTTAGTGCTCCTTGTTTAAAACTTCACAAGAGTGATTCAAACATACAAGGAGCAGTGCTGGCACCCACCACCCCCACCCCACCCCACCCCACAGCCTTTCCTTATTGTACACAAAACAAACCACAGATGTTCGTGGGGAAACTACCCAAACTAGGGACAACACTGCTTTTACTCTGATATGGCATTATTCCCACTAACAAGTGTTTTTTATTTCCACTATCAAATGTGTGATTAGCCAGGTAGGAGCCCTTCAGAGACAAATTCATTTCTGGTGGTGCAACAATGTTATTGTACTTAATGCCACTGACTGATACATTTAAAAATGGTGGTTAAAATAAGGCTTGGCCGGGAGGCTCACAGCTGTGATCCTAACCCTCCGGAGGCCCAGGTGGCAGGATTGCTTGAGCTCAGGAGTTCCAGACTAGCTTGAGCAAGAGTGAGACCCTGTCTCTACTGAAAATAGAAAAACGAGTCAGGTGTGGTACATGCCTGTAGTCCAGCTACTTGGGAAGCTGAGGCAAGAGGATCTTGAGCCCACGAGTTTGAGGTTGCTATGAATTATGACACCATGGCACTGTACCCCAGGGTGACAGTAAGACTCTGTCTCAAAAAAAAGGTTAAATTTATATTTTGGAAAAAAATGTTAAAGGCTTGCCATTAAGGCTTTCCTGGTGCTGTCCACTCTCTCTCCAATTCCCTTCCCTTTCCTATCCCAATCCTTCTTGGGAAAGGCAGGCACTGAGAGAGGGACCAGGAGAGCTCGGTCCTGAGACTACAGCGATGAATCAGGCCCTGCCTGCCTTTGAGGTGCTTCCAGTCTGTGCAGTGTGACTCAGTGGGTGTGACGGCGCATGCAAGGTGCCCGTTGTGCTGCCACAGGGGAGTGGTTGCTCCTGGGGAAGGGCCGGAAGAAGCTCCACAGTGGGGGAGACTGTGTCCTGAGCCTTGAAAGATCAGTAAGTCTTTAGCTTTGAAGGGAGGGGCTTACAATAGATGTATATTTAATGGGGTAGGGAATTTTCCCTCTTCCCATCCCCACCCTGAGGTGTTATTAAGTGAATGGTGCATCTCATGGTCATGGAAATTACAGGGCGAATGGGTTGAAATGATAAGAATAAATATGACCATCTAGGCAAGACAAGCAGAATGAGGACTGAAGGACCAGCCTGCTGGTGGCCAGCAGTCTGCTTGTGTCATGAGAGTCAACCAAAAAGCCATTTCTGTGGTAACAAATAAGCACAAATTAATAACTCCAGACAGTCGGTCATAACCACCACACTTTTTGCATAGCCCTGAATACCAAAGGGTAAAAAATCTGTTTCTCACTAAAGAAACAGCGCCCACAGCAGACTGGCACGATTTGTTAATTCATGACTCTGGAATTTGATGATGCTTTTATTATGAAAGATATTTATTTGCAGAGTGAGTAACCCTCTATAAAGGTAAGGCTTTTGTCCCCACCAATTGCTCTCAGTTGGGCTGGTCTCTAGGCTTGCCTGGAGTGGGAGGACTCACCCTCCAGGGAGTCTAACTGACTCACCCCCACCTCCAAAGAGAATAAAGCCCAGATGGGTTTCCTTGGCCCAATCTCAGTGACCCTCTGGGGTGCCGGTCACAACAATCAGACATTATTGTCTCTTGATTACTCATGTCTGTCTGCTGGTGTTGCCCCAGAAAACCTTGTGAGGGTCTTCACATTCTTCCTCCAAACAAGGTTTCCTGCTGAGATCAGGCAAAACACCATATCATTTAACTCTGTGAATGAAAATGTGAAAGGTTCCTAATGAATGAATTTGCTGATTGTTTTAAGACTCAATGGGACTGAGTATGCTAACTCTGTCACCTCCACCAGCCCATCCACACAGACAGAGTCTCCAATGACCCTGGCCCCTACTTCAGCTAGATCTCAGCAGAATATTCCATGGCAGTATTTCAGTCCACTAAAATCACTTTTATCAAAATAGTCCCTATTGTGTATCCAGTGTGTATTTTCCCTATTAAAGTAAAACAGAGATTACTGATTGATTTTGGATTTAATCATAAAATCAAAGAATGGAAGTAAGAGTTTAAAAGGGAGTAGTGGGGAGAGATAGGCTTCATTTCCTGAAGAGTGAACAGTCATTCAATCCTGATGAGGCTACAGGGTCTTGGTGGAATGCCCATCTGCCGAGCTTCAAAATAGCAGGGGCCTATAGTCCCAGCCACTCGGGAGGCTGAAGCAAGAGAATTGCATGAGTCCAAGAGTTTGAGGTTGCTGTGAGCTATGAAACCTCAGTCTACCGAGGGTGACCAAAAAAATAAATAAATAAATAAAAAGAAGCTGCTGCCTCCCCCCACCCCAAAATAGCGAGGGCCCTTATCTGTTTGCAATGGATTCAGCACTGTTCTGCCTGAGAGCTGGTCCACCCTTCCCACCCTTTCTTTAGCCCTAAAAGGTGGGAGATGGCAGAGAAAGTGTTCTTAGATAGAGTGACCAGACGTCCCGCTTTTGGTGGGACAGTCCCGCTTTCTAACAATTTGTCCCATGTCCAGCAGCGTTTTTAAAAAGTCCCAATTTTTGGAAAGAATGCATGAAGGGGCGGGAGAACAGGAAGGGAATATACGGTTTTCGGCTGCCATGTGGCTATTTTCCCAGGATATGAGTTTTATATTATTTTTGTTAATTTTATAATGTTAAACT